CTAGACAAAAACACTAAAAATAACAAATGCGTCCGTTCTGCTCCCCACAAAAAGTTGCTCAATGGTAAGTAACCAATAAGAAGTTTCTAAAGCATGCAAAGAACTTAACCCTTTATAGAGAAAGATAAATTATTAAACTCTTTATAACAGCTAGTTTTCTCTACAACTAAAGATGCTTAACTTACTTTACTAAGACCAACATTGTGGTATTTCTTTTCCATTATCTTCTTCACTGGTTCTTCTTCCTTAAAGGTAATAAAGCAGAAGCCACGCCTCTTATTGGTCTTGTTGTCCATGGGAAGCTCTATGGATTCCACCTGATATTAAAAAACAAATTTTAACATGCTAGCTTGCATTTTATTGACCTTAAAACACACACACACATTTATTTAGAGGTGGGGAAATGCACATAGAAAACATGTAGTTGGCACTGAAGCTCTATTCGTCTCCTGTTTCTTCCTGTTTATTCTAATCCTTTTAAGGAATTCTTTAAATTAGAACATCCATTCCATCTAAGGTCTTCACAATTATTTACAAACACCGGGTACTGACATTTACTACCTAACTCAAGGGTCAGAAACTCAAATGGTCACAAAGAACAAAAAGAAAACAGCCAAATTTAAGAAAAACAGAATAAAAATGTATTTGAGAGAAAATTGCAAGTAGGGTGGTGAGGACTACTAAAAACTGGAGAGTTATATCCCCAAACCAAGGTGGAAGCTACTACTCAGTTTTAGAGATGCTGCTGTGTGGGAGGGCAGTGTCAGTTCCAATGCTGCATGCTCTTGCAAATATTTAAGAAAAGCTGAATACTGCATTTTGTGGGCAGTATCTCAAATCCTCAGTACTAAAAAAAAACATATATTGTTTGAATCAAGCAATAAATATCTGCAGGTTGTATCTGGAGCCCAAGGCCACAAATTTCTCAACTTAGCTTTAAATCATTAATTCATAAAAGAAACCTCTATTATCTATTTCATTAATGAGTCTAAGTTTGTTTTAATTGAGATGGGTCTCACTATGTTGCCCAGGATGGTCTTCAACTCCTGGTCTCCAGTAATCCTCCTGCCTCAGCCTCCCAAGTGCTGGGATTATTACAGACACGAGCCATCGCATCCAGTCTTACTAATGAGTCTATAGTTAGTACTCTCATTAAATGGGCACTTATACATGTGTTTCAATTAATAAGGCGCTACACCCTATTCTTCATTCCTTTCCTATTCTGAACAAGTGGATTTCCTCCTCGTGTCTGTTTTTACTTCTTCTAATCTGATAAATTTCTTACAAATGCCTATTTCATCTTTGTATATGCTACCCCAGCAATACTTTGCAGAGTAGGTGCTCAATGAAAAAAAAACATCATCCAACCTTCAAGGACCTGCTAATCAAGTATTTACCATACCACATCCTCATTCAAAAACAAATCACACTATCTGCCTTAACAGCTCTGAAAAGCCCAGTGACTTTGAGTCCACTTAATGGGACAATCACATTCACGCTAATTTTGACATAAACTGGGTCAAAACAGTTATAACATACCTCACCAAAACCACCAAAGTACTCCCTTATTTTCTCTTCAGGTGTATCTGGAGAAAGGCCACCAACAAAAATTTTTTTAACCGGCTCTTTTGTTTTCATGGCTTTGGCCCTTTTAGGATCAATCACCTTCCCATTCAATTTATGTTCTTTCTGATCCATAACCTAAGGAAATCGAAGTTTTCATTTAAAAAATATATATCTTAACTAAAGTTCAGAGAATATTAACTTACTTAAAAGTAGCTATAGTTAAATACAGATAATGCCAGGCATATGTTGACTTGCTCAAGATTAAACTGTCAAGTCATGGTGGTGATGTCATTATCAACCAACATATACTATACTACTGTTTATATCTTAAAGATGGTAGGAAATACACAAATGTAACCAATTACTAAATAACCATTACCTTTTAACTGTCAGCAATATATACAAACATGACTGCTACTCCCCTTTAGCCAGGATCAAAATAATGATTCAGTTAAAAGATGCTTGCGTAACAAAATTTCAAAATATATATTTCTGTGAACTGTTAAAACACATCCTTTTAATCAGGCATCTTTAAGTCTATGGTAACTTTAAAGTTAATTTTAAAAGCTAGTAGAGCCTGGAACACAAATTATTCACAAAACAATTCCTAAACCTGCCTCTATCTGCATACAATGTATTAGCAAGAACTATTATCTTCCTTCCTATACTATCAAAAGGGGAACCAAAATTAGGCAAACTCATTGCATCAAACTATCCATGTTAATATTTTATATTATTAACTAATCAGAACACATAACACACTACCTTATCTACACTCTCCGATTCTTTAAATAGCACAAAGCCAAAACCCCTTGATCGCCCTGTGATAGGATCTAACTTCAGAGTGCAGTCTACAACTTCACCAAATTTGGAAAAGTAGTCCTTCAGATCTTTCTTTGTAGTGTCCCAGCTAAGGCCTCCTATAAACATTTTCCTGTAAAGACAAAAAGCAGTATTAAAATGCTTAAAAAAAAAAAAAATTTGCCTTAAACATTATCCACATAAATAACACACCTTTTCCAAACTGCACCAGTTTACTGGGCAGTATATTAAAACATCATTGCTCCTACATAACCACACATCAGGAACATCCTATTCCAAAAAGCTGGCTTAACACTGCTGCTCCTGAATAATTACAAAATAGTGAGCAAGCAGCAAATTAAGTCTTTCAACTTGCTAAAAGATAAATGTATCCCCAAAGTAAAAATACTGTACTTAAAAGTTTTCCTTAGATTAAATTAAATAGATAACAGCAAAAGACAGAATCTTAGCTTCTTTGCTTCAAGTTTCTCTTCCAAGTGTTCATTAAATTTGTCAAAAGGCTATGCAGCTCCCCACTGATCTCAGCAACCAGCATTGGTGTCTATGCTGAAGCTCCTTTTCTATTTTAACAGTTCTCTCATTAACAAAACTCTCAGCACATAAAATGGAAAATTCTACATCTCACAATTAAGTTGTGAACCAATTATTTTGATGTGCTAAGAGTTCTTAAGACAAAAGTAATGTGCAATGTAAACAATTTAGTGAAAATTATCCATTGAAGTACAATCCACGAATTAACTTAGATCATTCATTTACAGTAGAACCTCAGTTAACCAGCAATAAAGTATTTAAGCCTTTAAAATGCAAAAAGTGACGGGTGGTAATCAAAAACCACCAAGACACTTTAAGACCAAATGTATATATATTCAAAACAAAAGACTTTAAGGTGAAGTATTACTAACATTACAGCAAAACACCAGAAAGTTCAGATCTGGCAGTTTTACATATGCTCCCTTTGTGCAAATAAACAAAGAAAGAAAGAAAGGCTACCCTATACCTACCTTCTACCCTTTAAAAAGACAGGACTGGAGATTTTTAATTTTAAAGGTAAACTGTCAGAATTTGTTATGTTATGGCTAAAAATTTCACCATGGGAATCAAATCACACTTGGTCAACATTTTCTCATCTTTTTTACTGGGGAGGGGTCATGCGTGGGGCCAGGATGTGACACTAACTCAGCTCTGTAAAGAAATTAAAGGCCTTTCATAAGGAAACATCTCCATCTTGTGGGCTTTCAAGATATTGCCAGCTAAGGCCCATTCTTGGAATAAAAAGGCCAATTAATTATCCCTTGAGAAGTAGGGTTTTTCTTCACTTCCTCGAAGACACCTGATTAACTGAGGTGTTACTGATCTTACAATTTTACCACAGACCTTTTTTTTTAATATATACAAATGAAGTTTCGCTCTTGTTACCCAGGCTGGAGTGCAATGGCACAATCTCGGCTCACTGCAACCTCCACCTCCCAGGTTCAAGCGATTCTCCTGCCTCCTGCCTCAGCCTCTGAGTAGCTGGGATTACAGGCATGCACCTTCACGCCCAGCTAATTTTTTATTTTTACTAGAGGTGAGGTTTCTCCATGTTGGTCAGGCTGGTCAGTCTTGACCTCAGGTGATACCCCCCACCTCAGCCTCCTAAAGTGCTGGGACTACAGGCGTGAGCCACCGCGCCAGACAGATTTGTTTTACTTCTACTGACAAAGCAAACTTTTAGTGCAAAAGACGTGTTAGGTATATACTGCACTTCCCACTTCAGATTAGCTTTTCAAAATTTATTCTAGAACTGGGCCATTTATATGCTTAATATTTAGGACTTCCTCAAAGTTTCCAGGCTTGAAGTAGCATGTATAAAACAACTCTGGTATTTTATAATCAAATGAACATAATGAAAACACCCATCATGTTTTGTGTATTTGAAATGTTTACTTCTTGCCAATTCCATGGAAGAAATTTGAGTTACTTTCTCAATATACATTTTCTTTAATTTGAATAGTGTACCTTCTAATGTACAATCTTTATTTACATAATTTGCTAAAAACACCTATTTTTAACTTACAGGTCCAGAATACTTCCTTTAGACATAAGTTATTAACCCACATTCACCTGTAAAGGTGAGGATACTATCTTTGTAATGAGAAAGAGAACTGACTATAAAGCAATGACCACTTGCTAAGATGTCCATGGCAAGTTCCACAACAGAAACAACTTCAATTAAGTTGAGATTTAACTATTAAATTACCCTTTCAGTGATTACAGAAATTTCTCAATAATAACAAAGTTTAAAAGTATTTCAGCCTGAACACAACAGTTTTAACAAAAACATTTTTAAAGCTGAAGTTGAAAGGCAAGAAAATTCTCTGGTCTATTCAGATATGGAGACAGAACTAGTTTTTATTTTATTTAACCAAAAATCAATGTTTATATTGGGAAAATATCCTTAATTAAAAATTATTAAGAAACAGAAAACAATTACAAATAAATAAATTAAAATACCATGAGGCATGTTGTACTCTTATTCTGAAGCCCCAAGTGTTTTTCAGACAAGCGGCAAATTTTCTTAAATATCACATAAGCATATCATCAAGCTGGCCCAGCAAAGTGCTCTCCAAATGTACTCCCCACATTTACTATGGTAGTTGTTAAACATGCCTACTTTACAGCTACAAGGTTCACTGAAGATACTATCCCTCCTAAATAACCAAATATCACTTATCCAGAATATTTAAAACCATCTATCCAGCACTTCTGGAAAATAAGAAGCCAAATATTCCACCTTCCTTAAAGCACTGCCTGCCCTCTCTAAACCTTCCCCAATTGTTTTTAACCTTCAACCATTTGAAATGAAATTTTCTTCTAACACCATCACACTTTCCTGCCTTCTTATACTTCAAATAATCATGATTTAACACTTTATGGCTCAGTCATCACTATTACACTGATTTAGAATACCCACAAGGGCTTCTAAAGTTAAGATACAAATACACCAAGTACAACTCATTTTTTCACAAGTTCTACTTTTCATTTTTGCCAGATCAATCACCAGTTGCTATACTAAAATGTCTCCCTTTCATTTGCAGCGTTAAGTAGCCAGCTCTCAAACTTTTCAAATTCTGTATAAAGTCAAAAGTCTCTAAGAAAATTAATTAACATTTTGGCAGTCCGAAAGCACCCTGGCTTGTTGTTCTGCTCTAATTAAGAAAGGCTGTTCTCAGGTTATGCTTAGCCTTAAAAATAAATAAATAAATAAGGTTGCTGAATAGGTGAATATGCTACAATGAACACAAATTGTACCAAATCCATCCCAACTTCACTAAATGGAATATATTAATTCCATTCCATTTTTATTTATTCATTTTTTTTTTTTTTTTTTTTTTTGGAGACAGAGTCTCACTTTGTCACCCAGGCAATGGTTCGTTCTCAGCTCACTGCAACCTCCACCTCCTGAGTTCAAGAAATTCTGCCTCAGCCTCCCAAGTAGCTGGGACTATAGGCGCATGCCACCACACCCGGCTAATTTTTTTTTTTTTTTTAGTAGACATATAATTTCACTGTGTTGGCCAGGATAGTCTGGATCTCCTGACCTTGTGATCCGCCCGCCTTGGCCTCCCAAATTGCTGGGATTACAGGTGTGAGCCACCACACCTAGCTATTTTTTATTTTATTTTTAAAAACAGTCTCACTCTTTGGCCCAGGCTGGAGTACAGTGGCACGATCTTGGCTCACTGCAACTTCTACCTCCCAGGTTCCAATTATTCTCGTTTCTCAGCCTCTCTGGGAGCAATTACAGGCTGCTCCACCACGCCTGACTAATTATTGTATTTTAGTAGAGACAAGGTTTCCCCACATTGGCCAGCTAGCCTTGAACTCCTGGCCTCAAGTGATCTGCCCACCTCAGCCTCCCAAAGTGTTGGGATTAAAGGCCTAAGGTTACCACCCCAGCCCCAAATTCTAACTTTATAGTACAGTGGGGAAGTTTGCTTATCTTAATTATGGATAAATGAGCACTTAGTCTCCACAATGTTGGCTTACATGGTCTCCGTCAAGCTGATGGCATAAGGTAATAATTTAAATTATCTACATATAGTATGACTGTATCTTGCTTTTAAAGCACATCTACTATCTGTCCAGATTACCTCTGCTGCCTTGAATAAAAACAAAGTTTCATATTGCTGTCACTCCTGTGTACATGCAAACACTTTTCAATGAAGTAGAACCTCAGAAAAAACCCTAAGCAGCCACATTAAAAACGACTAAGACTTCAACTAGCAACAAGGATGGTCCCTAATGCTGCAATGTAAGTTTAAACTTTGATCCTTAGCTGTTAAGTGAATTGATCTCAATTAAAACACAGGACTTCATCCACAGTATTTTATTAACATAGGTGAATTTCTTAATCCTAGCTATGAACTAAATATTCAGCACCCCAAGGCTGAATATGGTGTTCAGTTTACAACACCTACTCAATAATAGTCTCCTTGCTTTCACATTGGCTTATACCAAATTGCAAAATTAAATGACAAGCATAAAGTTACATAACATAGATGACTATCCAAATGCTATGTAGTATCATTCAAGAATTTAGGCTGCTTTGTGGGACATTTTATCATCTTTTAATCCAAGTTAAGTTTACAGGCAATAAAGACAAACTGCCTGGGTTTTAACCCTACTCCTGCCTTCTTTTTTTTAAGACAGGGTCTCGCTCTCCCCCAGGATGGAGTGCAGTGGCTCCATGACAGCTCACTGCAGCAATGACCTCCTGGGTTCAGTCAGTCCTCCCACCTTGGCCTCCCCAGTAGCTCAGACTTACTGGCACCCACCACCGTGCCTGGCTAATTTTTTTGGTAGAGATCAGGTTTTACTATGTTGCCCAGGCTGGTCTTGAACTCCTGGGCTCAAGCTGTCCACCTCAGCCTCCCAAAGTGCTGGAATTATAGGCATCAACCACTGCACCTGGCCCCCTGCCTTTTACTGTGTAACATTAAGAAAAAATATAAAGTCCAAAACTGTCTCCCCATCTGTAAAAAGAGCCTACATCAGATATTTGCAGAGAGGGTTAAACTAGTTAACACTTAAAGGAGATAAATAGTCTGACACAGACTGTAAGTGATAGAT